AATAACAAACTTGAAAGGGACCTTGGAGATCTTCTAGTCCAGCCCCTAGTCCATTAAAGAGACAATGACAAATCTAGACTGTGGGTCTTCAGGACAGTTAAGACCCCTTTGCATCGTTTTAGGAATTCAGAGGTGGGTGGAATTGTCGCTGGGGATGATGGGATCTATGGAGGCTTAGGGAACAATTCTGAGAAGGTTGTTTTGTGGTCTCGTGAACGGGACCCCGACTTTATCAAAGGAGATCAGTGTCCCGTATTCTGCTTAGCCATTTTCCCTTTTCTTTCCCTTCTTCTTTTTCCCATCTGCAGACCAGCGAGGAGGTCGTTCAGAAGATGATGGGGCTTAAAGTCCCCCCGTCACGTACCCCAAATAATGAGACCCTTTACATTCCTGACTGGGAGAAGAGAGTTCCAGATTCTGTCGATTACCGGAAAAAGGGCTATGTAACCCCAGTCAAAAACCAGGTAAGGCCCCTCAGGCCCTTTTCAAGGGCAGCTGTTTGTTTGAGGGAGGTCCAGTGGCATCTCTGTCAAGGGATTCCCTTGTGTGTTTCATCCTTTTGGGCTGGACCATTACAGCTTCCTTCGTGGACCTTCGCTGTCTGCTCTCGCTAAAGTTTGCTTTCCGAGGAGTTAAAATCAGAATCAGATTCCCTTTTGGCAGCCAAGGATCCCCTGGTCCTCAGAGGCGATCAGGAATGATAGGAAGGAAAAGGATCCAATGGCAGACAGAACTGGAGCGTCAAATACGCTGAATAGAATTGAAGTTAAATAAAAATAAACACAGCTTAGACAAGGAGAGTGACAGTGAGACGGAGAGCCGATTCTGGCTTATTTAAAATAATTTATTCCCAGAGGCAGAAAGAATAAAAATTCACCAGCCTCTCAAAGGGATTCCCTGCTTTTTGCGCATCACTTTCTCAGATGCAGACCAATAATTCATGGCGCTCATGGGAAAAAAACATCCCTAAAACTGTCTCTCACACACCTGTGTAAAGAAGCTGCAGGCTTTATTGCCCCGTTTAGCAGCCGTCCTTCTTCCTTGGCAGGGCCAGTGTGGATCGTGCTGGGCGTTCAGCTCGGTGGGTGCTCTGGAGGGGCAGCTGAAGAAGAAGACGGGCAAAGTGCTCAACCTGAGCCCCCAAAACCTTGTCGACTGCGTCACCAGCAACAGCGGCTGTGATGGGGGCTACATGACCAACGCCTTTGAGTATGTGAAGGAGAACCGCGGAATCGACTCGGACGACTCTTATCCCTACATTGGCCAGGTAGGGTGGCCTTGCCTCCCGTCTCAACTAGCGTCCCTTTTGGCTCGTTGGCCTTCTGGAAAGGGGAGACCCCCCCAATAAAATACCCTAAATAATTTTGTGCAACCAAAATGGACCAGACACAGCGTCAGAACCCATTTTAACTCATTAAAATGCCGGTGGCACATTGGCCCGTTGGGGCAAATTGGAAGAACAGTGGGGCTGTTTTGATTTGAGACCTTCCACGGACCAACAGTCACCTCAATTAATTTAATTAAATGGTGGAGGAGGGAGGAATTGGACAGAATTGGGAGGGTGCTCGGTGAGAAGATGGTTTTGCAGATCTCCAGTGGCAGGAGACCCGAAGAGACGGAGTCAGCCTTGAAAGGATTTGTTTATAAAGGAAAGAAGAGCGGAAGTAGAAATCCATTGTTTCCTTCTCCGTAGGATGAAAATTGCATGTACAACCCCACGGGCAAGGCCGCCAAGTGCCGTGGTTTCAAAGAGATCCCAGAAGGAAACGAGCGGGCTCTGAAAAGGGCCGTGGCCCGGATCGGTCCCGTTTCAGTGGGCATCGATGCCAGCTTGTCTTCCTTCCAGTTCTACAGCCGAGGTGAGTCAGGAAAGATCTCCGTTGCCAAGAGTGGGCTGAGACGGGGAAGCCACCCGCCTGCCCACCTGGACCGCCAGAAGTCACCTCCCTTCTCTTGAATCAGCGGGGTGTCTTCCATAGATTGCATTGGGCTTAATTTGACCCCCAAAACCTTCCCCGTCCCTCTGTGGATTTTAATTCATTGCTGTTAGAGAGATGTACCTGTTCACTCTTCCTGAGATGTCAAGAGAAGCCTCATCTATCTCTATAATCTGGCTGTAAAAAGGAAGTTGGCTTCTCCAGTTGAAGACCCTTCTCTTTCTCATTTTCTCAGGGGTGTATTACGATGAAAACTGCAACCCCGGTAACATCAATCATGCCGTACTGGCAGTGGGTTATGGGACCCAAAAGGGTACCAAGCACTGGATCGTGAAAAATAGGTACGGCTTCATTTACCTCCCATTTTATGCCACAGATAGTCTTCTGGGGCACCAAATCCTGTGCTTTGTTGTGGGTAACCACGGACAAACCGTAATGCATCAGGCTGTACGTAAAAAAAATAAGTAATTAACCTGCCTCAAATTAAGAAAGAAAAACGTACTGGTCAGAAATAAAAACTTCATAATCCAGATGTCACTTATCACCATGAAGCCGGACAACCAAACGGAGAAGCTGGTGAAGAATTCTGATCTTTTTTCTCTCTCTCTCTTTCTGTCCACAGTTGGGGGGAAGAGTGGGGTGACAAAGGCTACGTCCTTATGGCCAGGAATATGGACAACGCTTGTGGAATTGCAAATTTAGCCAGTTTCCCAAAGATGTGAGCGTCGGTGGCCAAACCTGATGGCAGGTCCCCGTCCTTCGTTGGCCGACGGCTGGATTCCCGAGCCAACAAAAGCGAAGGACCCCTTTGGCTTCATAAGCAGCGTTGAGAGTGTATTAAAAAGATTTAATCTTCCAGTTTTTTAAAATAAATTGTTGCTGCATTTTTTTCTTCTTGGCAAAAGAGGCGTAACTTTCAAATAGAAAAACCCAGAGGCCAAACCTTGGTCCTGAAGTATTTTCTTGGCTTCCGAAATAAGAACTGCAAAAAAAAAAAAAGTAAAAATAGTCATCGTTTTTGTAAGTCCCACAGAGTCGCTGAGAGTGAGGGGGTGGCCTAGATTTTTTCTAAATAAATAAAATGGAGAGGCAGATGTGAAAGAGACCTTTAAGTGTATTGCTGCCTCTTTTAATCAAGAATTTGAGGAGGGACTAGTCCAGGGGTAGGCAACCATGGCTCTTTTATGACTTGTGGACTTCAACTTCCCAGAATTCCCCAGCCAGCATGGCTGGCTGGGGAATTCTGGGAGTTGAAGTCCACAAGTCTTGATGTCATCAAGGCTGGACAGCCCTGCCTTAAGCTGAGGTTGTGTTCTTTCACTTCCTCACTATTTCTCATAAATTTACTGCTGCGAATTGTGTTGACTTGTGCAGATACCAAGCCTCTTGCTGGAACTGGATTAGGGGCTGAAAGAATTGGGGTGTCGGATGCCATTGATTTCTAGATCCCTACTAGAGGTTGGGGCTATCTGCAAAGAGAACCAGTTTTGGGGGTCACACTCCTATTAGCAAGGACAGAGAAAGCCTATTTCCCAGACAGGCTTTAGACATTGTGACAGGGACAAAGGAAAATGGGGGCCTAAGAAACGAGGGAACGGGTTTTACACGCCCACGTCCAATTGTGCAAAGCAGGAAGCTTTTCTCTGAATATGTGCATTGTTCTTGCAAGCATCCAAATGAGGAAACAGATAAAAAGAATTCCTCCCCCCCCCCCCAGGAAAAATGAAAAACTACCCAGGTGCAAAGCAAGAAGATTTATGTGTGACGATTCACTAAAATAAGATATTTTTGATTGCGCGTGGCTTTCTTTTCCCCAAATGCATCTGCTCCCAGGAGGATCTTCGTAAATGGTGCCTTTGCCCATCCTGACCAGCTGTTGTCTGGAGGAAAGCGAGGTCCCCCTTGGTTGGGGTTTTGCAGCTGGAGGGAGGGTCCGCTTGCAAATTCTGTTCCTTTTTTCTCTTCCTTTTGGTAGTTACCAGCTGCATCTCTTTGAGTAAAGAGAAGTTTGTGCATTTTCACTCACAACCCCTTGTGCAGAAAGGCCTCAGGTAAATTGTGACCTGGGGGGGATCTTCTTGCCTGAGCTAGCCATGAGTTTCTTTAGCCCAAGAATGTGCCGAAAGTTTTAGCTTTGTAGCTCCTGTTTCGGTTGTGCGGAAAGCAAGATGTGCTTGACAAAACATTCTCTTGAGCTCACAACAGCAGTTGGCTTCAAGCCTCTTACTCTGCGCTGTCACATCCCAGCAACTAAGGCTCAACTGCATATGGACTCATGTTGTGCACGAACTCTTCAGGGCAGTTGACCAATAAATCATGATTGGTTAGGTTCACCCCCACACCCAGAAGTAAGCTGTGACTTACACAGGATCCGAGTCCAGAAAGTAATCAAAGAATATCTAAAATAATAGACTTGGAAGGGACCTTGGAGGTCTTCTAGTCCAACCCCTGCTCAAGCAGGATACCCTATACCATTTCCAGATAAATAGTTGCCAGTCTTTTCTTTAAAACCTCCATGTTGGAGCACCCACAAGCTAGAAGTGATCAATTGTTCTTAACTGCCAGGAAATTCCTCCTTAGTTTCAGGTTGCTTCTCTCCTTGGTTAGTTTCCATCCCTGGCTTCTTGTCCTGCCTTCTGGGGCTTTGGAGAATAGCCTGACCCCCGATTCTTCTTTGTGGCACTCCTCAAATATTGGAAGGCTGCTATCCTGTCATCCCTACTCCTTCTTTTCATTAAATTAGACACACCCAACTCCTGCAACTGTTCTTCATATATTTTAACCTCCAGTCCCCTAGCTTTAGGGCTAGCTGGATGGGCCTATTCTAAGATGAAGCCCACCCATCTTACCAAGGTCACATTCCTCACACAATGAGGAGACCCAGAGATGGGAAGAATGTGTGTGTAAATGTTCGCCCATGAGCAGCCAGGCTTTTCAACATGAAATCAACCCCTCTGGTCTTTCTATTCAGATCATTTTGGGTTTGAGTGAAAGTGAAAATCACCGCCCGTTTCCTTGTGGGGCAGGCTCATGTGACAAGGGTAATAAATTGATTGTCTCTCGTTGGCACCAGCACTTGGCGGTTGCTTCCGTGATGAGCGGCGGTGTTCAGCTACGGAGTTAGCAAACAGTTGGCAGAAAAGAGAAAATTATTCTCTGAGGGGGGTCAGAGATTGGATGACTACGATTTAGAAAAGTCAGCCAGCTGAAAGATGTTCAGGTAGGAAACAGTCCATGTTCTTCTTTGCAATATCTTCTTTGAGCCAGGTGAGAAAGTTGTTTTTTTCCATCAAAGGAGATTTGCAAGAATGTTAACTTTTACGTTTGAATCTCTGGATAATACTGGATATCTTTTCATCGGCTTCATATCTAACAAGGGGGGTAAACAAGTAATTTGCTACCAAACCTGGATTCTGACAGGAACTTCCAGCCAAGACACTTTCGCTGATTAATTTCTTTCATGGTGAACAATTTTTCCTGTTGTTATTGAGTCTTGTTTTGAGAGTTATATGTTTTTGCAAAAATTAAGTATGAGCCGGGTCTTAATTCGCAAAGATGCATTAGGCTTAAGAAACTGGAGATACAAAGGAGATCTGTCTCCTTGATTCTTTGCATATTTTCCAAGCAATTTCCTAATTCAAAGTCGATATTCTCCAATTTCACACCAGACTTGACAGAAATGTGGTGGATAAGAAACTTTTTCACATCATTAAAATATTTATTTGGGATGCAGCCTCTCCATCTCCCAGTGAGTGGTCAACTTATTGCTTGCTTTACTTTTGGAAGCTGCCTAGAGTCGCCCTGAGTGAGTTGGGAGGCCATATAAATTTTCTGACCAAACAAATGAAATAGTGCTTTATCTTCCTTGCATTGTGAGCAAACTCAGTGCTTTCTTTGTAAGAAGTAAAGCAAGCTTCCTTTGTTAAAGTATATTCAGGAGTAGATTTATCAGAGTGGTGTTGGGAAATTGCATGATGTCTCCACTAATTTGACCAAAATGGACATTAGGTCTTGTGGCTTCAAGATTGTACAAACATCTGACTGAACACCATTGTTGCATTGTGCAAAGAATGTTCTTAGGAGCATAAATATTCAGTACTTCAACTATATAAATGGGCTTTTCCTTCTTGACTTGCTAGTCATTGGCAAACAGAGTTAAACAATCATTCCCCTGGTGTGCCCTGACTTGAAGAAATGCAGGGTGATCACAGACTGTGATGGAGCATTGTTACGATTCATATAAGTCATGGACACCAGGGGTGGTTGCAAGTCAATCTTCTCTCAAGCTTATGTTGTCATTCCAAATTTGAGTGGTTCCTACATCTCAACAGGATGGAGATACATGTTTGGCTATTGGCCTTTTGTGTTATCGTCACATCTGAACTACAGTGGCGTAGGAACCCCAAGCTGAACAAGTGCTGGGAAGTATGGAGGAAAAAATATGGCAAAGACTATCAAAATCAGGTAAGAAAGCTCAGCGGTAGCTCCTGCAGATAAAAATAAGAAGCACACAATTCTTTTTATAAGCAAGATCTTCTTGTTGGCTAATTGTGAGTTCTGCTTTAATTCTTAGAATCAGGAAGAGCAGCGCCGAATGACTTGGGAAAAGAACGCACAATTTATCGCACTACACAATCTCGAATATTCACTTGGCATGCATTCTTACGAACTTGGCATGAATAACCTAGGAGATATGGTTAGTGATGTTGATTTATTTAATGGATATTTAAGTGGGCTTGGTAACTACACGTATTAGATGCCGGGAAGGACTAAATGATACTAAATGTGAATTGTGAGGATTAAAGAGTATAGCGGCTTGAATTTTTTTAGGGAGGATAAAAAATAAATATATTCAGGTGTATTTTGTGGTGATGGAAACTTCTGCAATCAGGTTGGACTAGAATACCAATTCTATTGCTCTTCTGTTATTCTGTTATTCCTTCTTCTGGCTAAATTAATGCATGCATTTCTGATCTTTCTACAGACCAGTGAGGAAGTGTCGTTGCTCCTGACCGGCTTAAAAATCCCATCCTGGTGGAACCGAAATTCCACGTCGCACCCATCCATCGTAGGCTCTCGCCTCCCTGACTCCGTAGACTGGAGGGCCAAAGGATTTGTCACGAGCGTTAAAGACCAGGTGAGAAGGACTTTTAAACATCCATTGGTCTGTTCAGGACATTTTTGTGCAACTGATTTGGACCATCTCTATCTTTCAGTATTCGTGTGGCGCTTGCTGGGCTTTTAGTGCTGTTGGTGCCCTGGAAACTCAATTAAAACTCAAGACTGGGAAACTGGTGTCGCTTAGCCCACAGAATCTCGTTGATTGCTCCAGCTTCTATGGGAACCATGGCTGTAACGGAGGTTATATGCCTGCTGCTTTTCAGTATATCATAGATAATAAAGGCATCAACTCCGAGGCCTCCTATCCATATAAGGCCAAGGTTTGTATGGTTATCGTTGCAGAGACTGCTTGCAAACTTGTTCTAAACAGGGGTGTGTAAACTTGCATGCATGGCTGGCTGGGGAATTCTGGGAGTTGAAGTCCATGGATCTTAAAGTTACCAAGTTTGGACAATCCTGGTCTAAACTCGGTCTCTCTTTGGTCTCCTTTCATGGTGGTTTGCAAAACATGGGGAATGTCGTAATTAAAGCTGGTGCCTTTAATCATTTCCCTGACTTCCTCAACAGAGGTTTCAATCCTACGCAGAGCAGCATAAATAAGCCCTTGCTACTTGTTCCAAACTTAATTTATAGGATTGTGCCATAAGTTCCATTTGGGCTTCTGTGTAATCATCCAACTTTAAGGGGGAAAAAAAAAATCCCGCGGAATAATTCAGAATGTGTGGCTGCTCCATCTTAAAAGAGATATTTCTTGTTTCGCTCACATCAAATGGAGCATTATCAAGAGGGCACCTGCACTTTTTGAAGCAAAGAAAGAGGTGACTATGTCGTAGAATCAAATTATAAACGAATGAATTAGCCATCAATTACAAGCAGTGGTATTTTAACAGGTTTTCTCAATCCTTATCACCACTATAAAAATTGCACGCTTTATCCCTCATCATGCTTTTGCTGACCAAACTGAGGTGGAGAAATGCTTATCGTGATTCCAGACCCATTTATTTTACCTTAATTAAAATCTTGTTTTTTGCAAGACACCCAATGCAACACGCATTTATGTTTTACAGTCACCGAGGTTGGGCTGAGTCCCAGACATAAATTTTAGCACCTCCCAACGACAATTATTTAAGAAATAAGCCAGAGGGGAAAGCACTGCGATTGAGTGGGGCACAAATCTGTGGATTTACTCCGAAGGAAAACCAGTTTGAACTTTTTCCTGCTTCCTGCAGGATGGGCTCTGCCGCTATAATCCCGCTGCACGAGCTGCTACCTGCTCTAAATATATCTTGCTTCCATCTGGAAATGAGACTTATCTACAGGATGCTGTAGCCAGAATTGGACCGGTGTCAGTGGCCATCGATGCAAATCAGCCAACGTTCTTTCTGTATAAGCAGGGTGAGTTCACACACACACACGGAGAGCCCCAGAAGGAAACGTGTCCGCATTTATGTTGATCTGTTAAATGAACAAGATTCAGTTTTGTGAGTTTGGGATCCTGGGTTCCCAATAAACATTTAGAAGTGATTCCAATTTTTTTTTCCAAACAGGAGTTTATAATGATGCCAGATGTACGAGTCAGCATTTGAATCATGGTGTTGTCGTGGTTGGATATGGAAAGGAGAATGGCATGGATTACTGGCTTGTGAAGAACAGGTATGCCAGCCCTTGGGCAGTTTCAGAGGCTAAACCAGAATTAAGGACTGGGCATAGTTGTTTTAAGATGCCTTGGTCTTAAATATAAATGCAGCATTCTTTCCTGCAAACAAGCATCATAACTAGGAAGAATTAATTTAGGGACAGTTGAAGATTTAGTAGCTTCTGTCTGCTTGTAAGGGTGCCAGAGGGAGATTTTGCACAATGTCTGATCTGCTTTTGTGCCAGGAAAAATAGATTGTAAATGGATTGAAGTGGTGGATATTTTTTGCAAATCTTTTGATTTAAAAGCCATATTAAGGACTTCTCAAGCAGAAAAGCAGAGACCCAAATTATTTTCGACACACCCTTGCTCTGCAGACTGTAGTCAAACATTGCATTATATCAAAATCCTCCTCCTCCTCCTCCTCCTCCCCCCTTAGTATGGTATGAGGATGCAGCTTGCAAGAGGCCACCACTCTTTTATAGATTGCACTGGCATCTTGACTATTTTTGCCCCTTGTCAATCAAAGCATCTAACTGTCCAAAGATGCCAGACAAATCCTGTATAATTTGAGGAATATCAGTGGCATTCCCAACCCAGAACACTGCATCCTCATTTGGACACCTCACTTAAGAAAGCTCATTTCTAAAGCATATACTCATTATTTTCCTCTTCTTATTCCAACAGTTGGGGAATCTATTTTGGCCAAGAAGGCTATATTAAAATTGCAAGAAATCAAGGGAATCGCTGCGGCATCGCCAGCTACTGCTCCTATCCACTAATTTAGATGGCGTCTTCAGTTTGCAATTTCTTCACTTGAGGAGCCCTATTAGGCAGCTAATCTTAGTATATATATATATATATATGTAGGTCTTTGGTTGTTCGGGTTTTCTCCCGCGTAAAATTGGAAGACACTTCCAATTTTACGCGGGAGAAAACCCAAACAACCAAAGACCTACATACAAACACCCGCGAAAACCTCAGAAAACATATATATATATATATATGTTGCATTTGGGAAGAGCGATTGATTGCCAAAACCCAGATCTTCCATTCGGCTCCACCTGGTAGATCTGAGACAAGCAGCCCATATGAGGGTTTATCTGGGTTTAGTTCAGAATTTGCTAACGATCTCAGGGGCACCGCCAGGCTTAATCAGTTAATCAGGTAATGTCTGCCAATCTGCTTTGAACAACCAAAGAGCACTGGGTAATTGTCAGGGATTTCCATTCAGGCCACCTGAAAACGTCCAGAATCTGCATTCAAGAATGTAAAGCAAAGTCTTCTTCAAGGTTCAGCCATTTGCGAGACGGTTTCTCATCTGGAAAGAGTCAAATGCATACAAGTTGAACTTTGGATTCATTTAACGTGAGGAAGAAAAGAACATTTTCACTGCTGGGAGCCATTACATGGAATGCAACATTAGAAACATGGAATCCTAGGGCTGGAAGGGACCTTGGGAGGTCATTTAGTCTAACCCTCTGCCCAAGACAGAAGACCTTACTATACCACCCCAGACAAATGGCCGCCCAATCTTCTTTTGAAAATCTCCAGCGATGGAGATTTGGTTCTTCTTTCAGCGTATGCTGGATCCTTCCTGAACCTGGTTGAAATTTAATTCGAAAGCCCAGATTTAACCTTGGCCCTGTATTAAAGATTATTAAAGGCAATGCACGTTCAAGAAAATGTGGCTTGGTGTGATGTGAAAACCCGGTTGCTGTGCTTTGTTGATTATAAAGAAATGAACAATCTTTATAAATAATACATAATTTTAAACATATACAAGCATGATATCGTAGGCACGTGATGTCATCCCACATGATGTCATTGGGCAGGGCTCCAATCAGCAGCCACGCCTTGTTTGAAAAAAGGCGAGAAAAGCCAGGGGTGGGGGAGGGGGCAACTGTTGGGCTACCTGAGGAAAAAAGGCGGGAAAGGTGAAAACGCATCTCGTGTTTGAGGGAGGGAGCAGCCTAAGGTGGCCATTTCCCCCCCTCATGGTGTGCCTTCTTTCCCCTTTCCCAATGTCATTTTTTTTTAGAAAACACACAATAATAGGTGTTATCTTATTTCAGTTCCTCACTGAGCTATGTTTCTAGACTGAGCTATAGGGGTTCCAGATCCTTCCAACCAGGCAATCCAATTTCTCCTCTCCTGCATTGGCCACGATGGCTGGGTATAAGGAGAATGGCCGGTTCTGCCCCCCTTTGCATCCACTGGCTCCTGATTGCCCTCTTGAATCTTTATGATGAACAAGATGGCAAAGACTAACCCTGGTTCCCCCTCTGGGGCCAATCTTTCTCTTTCCCTTAAGAATGGAAGGGCAGCAAAAATGGAGGATAGCCAGGAGGGTCTGGTAGATCCACTTAGCATCCATCACCAGCTGGCTTTTCACAACAGGGCAGCCACTTTGGGTTCCTAAGGGGGGAAAAGATGGTGGACTATGCAATTCTCCAGAGCCATACTTATGGAAACTCTGGCATCTCCACAACAATAGATCCTGACACATTTATTCCAGGAACACATAATTGCTCCCATCAAAACTGGTTCTCCTTGAAGGCCACCTTCCCCAACCTGTTTAGCCATCCTGGTGTGGCAGCTAGAAAGATGGCTTAGGGTAGAGGCGTCCAAAATGGCAATTTTCAGACCTGGGGACTTCAAGTCCCAGAACTCCCATGCTGGCTGGGGAATTCTGGGAGTTGAAGTCCCCAAGCTTTAAAGTTGCCAAGGTTGGACATCCCTGGCTTAGGGCATTGTGGGAACACAGCCATAAACATTCCCAGGATGGACCATTTTCCCTAATTCCTCCTTTCAACAATCCAGGACTAACCAATCCTTTTATTTTTATCAACAGAGGATTGCAACATCCTGTTGGAAAAGGGCATGGCAACTTTGCAAAAGCAAAGGAATCCTCTGGTAGGCATGAGGTGCCTCAAGGCAGATCTCCCCAGGATCGAAATCTAGGATCGTTTGGCCTGGAAGATCAAGGATTTCTTTTTTTTCCAGACTGCGGCCATATTCCCCACCAAAATTGCGACCGAACAGCAATCCCTCATGTTGGTGAAGCGGCTGCTGGCCATCTCCGTCTCCTGCATCACCTATCTCAGGGGCATTTTGCCCGAAAGTGCCTATGGGACGAGATATTTGGATGGTAATGCCCTTTCCACGTATTTGGGGCAAAAAGAAGGAGAAATCCTGCTGGAAAAGGGTTTTGGAAGGATGTGGAAAGCTTGAAGAACATGGAGGTTCCAGAAGAGAAGATAGATCTTTGAGAAGAAGCCCTTCTCCACCTTCAATGGTCCCAGGGACTCCTTGGAGAATCCTTTCTCAGAAAAAAAAATGCATTTAAATGCATGCAAGAAAATATATCAAGTAGGGGTGTCCAAGCTTGGCAACGTTAAGGCCTGTGGACTTCAATTCCCAGAATTCCTTAGCCACCCATGCATGTGGACTTCTGGACCAACTCCCAGAATTCCCTAGCCATGCCTGGCTGGCTGGGGAATTCTGGGAGTTGAAGTCCACAGGTCTTAAAATTGCCACGCTTGGACACACCCCTGATATAAAGGGATAGGTTGGCTTGCAAAGGAATCAATCCTGCTCAAGTAACAATATTGAGGTGTTTTTTTAAAAAAAAAAACATATTGCATATGAAAGGGGAAAAGTTACTTTAAAATTTTCTAAACCAGTGTGAACTTTTTGCTAGGCTGGCCAACAGCAGGAAGTTAAAATAACTGAAACCTTTCTGGGGGGAGGGAAGGGTGGTTTCGTTTCTTATGGAGCAGTTTTTAAAAAATAGTTCCCTTTTTAAGACTATGGGGTGTAGGCTATCGGCATATTCTGCATGGAAAGATCTGGATCTCTGAATCTCCTAATCAGGGAGATTTTGCAGATGCATGATGACATCATACAGATGATGTCATTTCTCTGCACAATGACATCACGAGGGTGATGTCCTTGGCTTCCCCTGAGAGCCATCAAACAAGGCAACAGGGTCTAGAACTCAGCTTTTATAGAAGCAAAATATTTTAGATTAGCCAGCCAAAAGTTTAATGGCAATTAACGCAGGTTTGTGTCTTTCAAGATCTCTGCGTGAAGATCCTAAAAGAGGATAAAAACTGCCCTGGGTCCAGCCAGCTTGTGAAATGGTATGTCTTCTACCATATGCAACTTCCAGTGGCTTTGTGTCCTGTGGCAGGGGTGGCCAGCAGAAAAAGAATGGCATTTTTACTGGAGAAATATTGGTAAACAGTCATGAGTATTATATGGAAAGAGTTGCATAGTTTGGCACCACTGCATATTTTTCATTTCAATTAATACACTTAAAGTATATTTTCAGTTCATGCATCCAAAAGCTAAACTTAAAGCCTCAATCTTATTTGATTTTTTGCAGGATGCTAGGATGTTATGATGCCCTGCAGAAAAAATATGTAAGTTGGCATTTTATCTCTAATGGGCCCCGGTTTTACAAGTATGAAAACGCTTCTAATATCAATTTCTTTCTTGCTTGTCTTTTAAACAGCTCAGATTAATCGTCTTAGCAGTAAGTTTGGCAAAGATATATTCCATATAGGGAAAGAGAACTTTCCTTTTTCTTTGCTTCATTTTCATTTTGCTGTTTATCATTGAATATAGGTCTACACCAACCAGGAGGATCCCCAGGTATGTCTTCCATGTCATTTCTTACAAACTTTGTGATTGGATGCTTTGATTTGGATCAAAACATCTATTAAAATTCTTATAAAGATACTTATTACAAAGAACATTATGATAAAGATGGATACTTAGAGCTCTGCATGGAATCTAACATCAAGATAAAAAGAACCATCAGCACTGGATAAGGAAATGTGTGCTCTTTTGTTCTTGGGGAACAAAATAATTCTTTTTTCCTTATTAAAAATACTTTCCTTGGCACAGAAAATAACAGTGCCAGAGACCCACTAGGTGTCACCCTACTTCTGTATTATATTATAGTAAACATACTGAAGACTGGGTCTTTTGCATCCTTATAGTTTTAGTTGGATCATTGAGAAACCACCTACTTTTTTTATTTTTTTGTGCAAAATGCTGTTCCCAGAATTAATCTTATGCACAAGGCTTTAACATTTATTTCTTGGCATTGCAAAATAGATTTGATTCTGTCATTTCACTCACAGTTCTCCCTCTGAGTGCTAGATAAATAACTGCTGCATTTTGTATTAGACGGTTACAGAATGTTACCAGTTTAAGTTCAAATACACAAACAAAGGACCTTCAATGGATTTCAGAAGGTATGCCTTTATTTTTCCCTCTTCATCAAAGAACTCCAGTAAAATATTTGTTTAGCTATTTGTCCCAGTAAAGTGTGGAGAAATATATGCTTTGATTTTGAAAACTGAACGTTAACCCGGGTGTGTTTGTTGACAAGGAAAGTGCACATTTGTTTCATAACAATTGCCCACTAACAGTTGACTTGTTACAAAGTCTAAATAGGATTGTTGCAACAAATACTATGAAAATAGTGATCTTTGATCACCTCCCAAATTCTGCAGAAATACAAAAGTTGCAAACACAGACTTGCCTGCTAGAATTAAGAAGACCCTTAACTCATCATGCAAGAATGAATAAAGCCCAGCATTTTGTTTCCAGAGGCTGTCAGAAAGGCAGGCTTGCCCCCTCATCCTACTCCCCACAATTGGTATTCATGCCCATATGCCCTTTGACCTTTTAGGTCCCATCCAGCCTTCCTGGTTTGTCCTCCCTGATAGATTTATCTTCCGTGATGAATCTGACTAATTCCCTTTTAAAGCTACTTAAGCGAGTGGAAAGAACAACACCACATTCTATGGAGCAATTGTCATAAATTAGATCGTGGCCTTCTGTGAAAGCATCCTGCCTTTGGTGTGTGATGCTGAATCAGGTTGCACAATGCCACATTCAAGAGAGACACACAATTCTATGTAACATCTCCACATCTTGCATACTTTTATAAACCCCTCTGTTTGTGTCTAATTTCCCTAGACCTCCTTGCCAAGAACTGTTTTGCTGCCCTTGCTGTGTGCTCTTTGGGGTACTTCTTGTCTGCAGACACAGCTAGGCACAAGGGAACAACTTGGGTAGAGCTGAGTTTACAAATTGGCCTTGGGAAGAAAGCTAAAAACTTCAGGATCCTCCTTTTTTTAGGGGAGGGTGATGAACTTATTTGGCCTCATAACACAACTCCGGCTACTTTGTGCTTTTAGTCAGCAGAGTCAATCCAGCATCACATGCGCGGACACTAAGAAAGCAAGTATCCTGCTCATCCGCAAGATTTACATCCTGATGCAAAACCTGGGCCCGCTGCCTGATAACGTCTGCTTGACCATGAAGTTGTTCTATTATGATGAAGGTAACTTTAAAATCTTAATATCGTCTAACGAGGGGGATAGGTCAAAGTAACTAACATGTCTCACCACGGAGCCTGGATTATCTTCTTTCCAGTTACACCGCCCGACTACCAGCCCCCTGGATTCAAAGAGGGCGACTGCGAAGGAATGGCCTTTGAGGGGGAGCCGATGTACCTCAATGTTGGGGAGGTTCCCACCCCTTTTCATATGCTGAAAGTGAAAGTGACCACTGAGAAGGACCGCATGGAGCGTGTGGACAAAGCCATCCTGAAGGAGGACTCCTCCCTTGCTTCCGTGCAAGGCTGGCATCTTCATGAAGGCCAG